CATTTCTGTGAAACATTAATATAATATATATATATAATGGTTACAGTATCCATTTTGTAATTAGGTGTTTACAAATGACCTCTTTAGTAAAGACATCAGCCAACTATACTTTTCTAAAGCTGGCAAAAAATGGCTTCCTTCTATGGGAGAATTCTGTACACTGGTGATATAGAGAACTGTCATTTCCTGCTCACTTGATTGGGAAACTCACTGTTCCCAGAATTATATTCGCTTATTACAATATAGGGAGTGATAATTTGACTAGAGCAGAAGGCACCTCTCACTCATTTCGGAAATATGAAGTGGCTACAGCAAGTAGGAAGTGAGAGGAATGGATGGGTAATTCCCAAATGGTAACGAATAGCACTGTGCAATGGAGATTACTAACATCATTGTAGTATATTTAGCTGGGAGGTTTATATAATTTTCTTCAAAAGCAGAGGGTTTTTTTAAGTATTTAAAAACTTTTCTGGAGGTATCTGTATTTTTGTCATTTGATGCTTATTACAAATTCTTTTAGATTAGTTTACCACTTATTCTACAGCTAATGCTAAGAAAATCTGTGCTAAAGAAGTCAGTTGACTTTTGTTGAAGGAACTGCTCTGAAAATTCTCAGCTGCAGTCACCGTTTGGGTATTGTGACAGAGACACAATAGTCTGCTGGGAGGATTCCCCCATCCATGCTGTTTAGTATGGATGAAGAAATCGAGCATTTATTTTTGTTCAGTCCGGAGGTGTATGGCCAGCTTAAGACTCTGACTTCAGCATTAGCTCTGACTTCACTGTTCTGATTTGTAGACTTGTTTTTCTTTACTTTCTGCATTTTTGAAAAAGACTTGAAGAGAGATTGCCCCTCTCTTTCTGTTAGTTCAGGTTTATTTTAACAAGGAATGTATTTTTTGCCAGCTTTAGCGTAGAATAGTGCAACAACAGTAGGGAACTATTCACCTCTGGGTTGCTGTTGATCTGCTGGCAAACTGTTGCTATGGGCCTTCCCACCCCGACCTGACTTTTTATTTTTTTTTGACACATTACCAAATTGGATAAAGGTTGAGTAACCCGATTATGTTGCATATTCTGTGCTACTCTCCAATCAGAGGTACCCACAAAGATGTTATTGGTGTATTTTCAAATAATCAGAAAAAGCAATTATTTAGACTTATACCTCACAACTCTCTGAGATGGGAAAGAGGGGCAACCTTTAGCTAAATTGTGTATGCAACGGGCCAACTTTCCCTGCCAGCCCAAGTTACTTAGACCATGAAAATTTAACTCCTGAGTTTGGTGTCACTTTAAGAAATTGTATCAAAATATTCACTTAAATTTTCTAATCATGTGAAAAGCAAACAGGTAAAATTGCTTTTCTGAATGTTTCCGTAATTTATTAAGTACAGATTCTTAACTACTTTAGTAAATTGCTAAATATTGATATTGGATTTAATTAATTTTTTTTTGACTACAGGATGGAAGCTCTTCTCAACCAATGGCTCTGGAGACAGGAATACTGGCTTCCCCCTGGAGTTACCTGGGAAGATATAAAGGAGACAGAAAATGTCCTTTATCCTAGACCTTGTCATCTCTTTTTCGGTATTCCATGTGCACTCATCCTTGTTGGTTTGAGATTTATATTTGAAAGGTGAGACCTGCCCAGAAGAATGCAGTATATGTATTCATACTTAATGTTATGTTCTACTTACTTATATGTAATGTTATGCTGCTTTTGACACTGTTGACCACCTGCTCCTCCTAAAAAAAACTTCACTTGCTTGGCCTACAAGACTTTGCTCTCTCATGGTTCTCCTCCTACCTATCTAAGCGCTCTTTTAGTGTCACCCACAAATCTAACTCCTCCCCTCCTTTCCCTCTTTCTGTAGGGGTCACCCATGGCTCTGTCCGTGGACCCCTTCTCTTCTCTATTTACACTTCCTCTCTTGGTCAGTTAATAACCTCACATGGCTTCCAATACCATCTCTATGCCAATGACACTCAAATATATCTTATTACTCCACAACTCATCCCCTCCGCGTGCTTGCGTGTCACTAATCTACTAACTGACATATCAGTCTGGATGTCACAACACTTCTTGAAACTCAACCTTTCAAAAACTGAGCTCATGATATTTCCTCCTGCCTGTGCACCTTCCCCCAACTTTTCCCTTAAGATTGATAACACAACTATCCAACCCTCCCCCCATGCCAAGGTGCTAGGTGTCATCCTTGACTTGGACCTCACCTTTTTGCCCCACATCCAATCACTATCCAAATCCTGTGCCTTCACATTCATAATATCTCCAAAATACACCCCTTCCTCACCAATGAAACCGCAAAGCTGCTCATCCACTCACTTGTTATCTCTCGTCTTGACTATTGCAACTCCCTCCTCATTGGCCTTCCACTACATAGGCTATCCCCCCTTCAGTCTATCATGAATGCTGCTGCTAGACTTATACACCTAACCAACCGCTCAGTGTCTGCAACCCCCCTCTGCCAATCCCTGCACTGGCTTCCAATTGCCCAAAGAATAAAATCCAAAATATTAACAACCACTTACAAAGCTATTCACAACTCTGCACCCGGCTATATCTCCAACCTCGTCTCAAAATATCACCCTAACCATCCCCTTCTCTCTTCCAAAGACCTGCTCTCTAGCTCCCTCGTCAACTCCTCCCATGCACGCCTCCAAGACTTTTCTAGAGTCTCTCCCATAATCTGGAACTCTTTACCTGTTCATATATCTCCTACTCCAACTGCCTTTAGGCGATCCCTTAGGACTCATCTCTTCAGGGAAGCCTATCCCACCTCAAACTAACCACTGAACCATCACGTTCTCAAACAATTCATCCCCACACAGCTACCTCCTCATGTATCACTTGTCTCTCCCTTTTAGATTGTACGCCCTCATGGGCAGGTTCCACCTCACCATCTTGTTTTGAATTTAATTGTAATTGTAATGTCTTCCTTATATTGTAAAGCGGTGCACAAACTGTTGGCGCTATATAAATCCTGTATAATATTAATAATATGTAATGTTATTTATATGTAATGTTATGTATTTATATGTAGTTATACATAATAATATACATTTATATGTAATGTTATGTATTTATATATAATGTTTTACATTACCATGTAAATCCTGGTAATCTTTAAAGGATTTCTCACGTCTATGAAAGTTTCTTATAGTCATGGATTTGTGGGTGCCTAAGTTCATAGTAAATGAATGACCACACTATTATCTCTTGTTATGACCTCTAAATGTATTCCACAACATAATCACACAGGTAACAGTAGAGTATATAGTGTGCCCCATGTGTACAGAATTCAGCCTAAATATTTATGCTTGCAAGGAATTTGCTATTCACACGGCATTAGGGTCCACTGTTTATTCTTCACCATGTGAATATTTAACAAGGACTCATGAGGTGAATTAATATTAAACTAGTTAGACTAGAAATTGACCTCACTTCTGCCCTGGCATAAAATGTCTCCCAATTCTAGTGTAAGCGCTTTCGGTAATAACATAGACATTTCAGTGTCCACATAACTTAAGGGCTGATGTATAAACCTTTCGTTCGTGTGGGATTGCCATGTCACTATCTGTAACATGTGTGGTGAGCCTAAGAGTAATTTCACTGGTTCAGGAAACCTCAGCATGGCCAATAATTACTCATTGAATAAATTAAAGGAAAAGAAAGGATCTTGACCCTGTTTATGAGGCTTGTCTTCATATTGATCATTCAGAGAGAGAGAATTGCTGCTTTATAAATATTGTGGATAATGCAGAAACCAGTATTTAATGTGGAGCTTGCATTGGACATTTACATTTCTGAGTTCTACCCCCATAGACTTGCATTGAGTTCGAGTTAGAACTTTTTCCATGTTCGAAAGTTCGAGTTAGAACCGAACACGGGGGTGTTCGGCTCATCACTACATCAGATATATTGTTTCATGTTAAAAGCTTGAATGCAAAGTAATGTGTACCTGTAGCACAAATCTTTATTTCTTGTTAGAGTTTTTCCTGAAAAAAAGCTGGCCATACACCAGTAGAATTCAGTTTGTTTGATTTTCTAACATCGATGATCCTTTTCGAATGTAGTATGACGGGGTCAGGGTGTGATGGAAAATGTTTCTGAAACAATGCCACATGCAAGTTTTACTTTTCACAACCAAACACATATAGGCATAAATTATAAAGCAGCTTCTAATAATAACGTGAAATGTGTTACACTACAAGAGCTTGTGGGTAGTTAACATGCAAAGCTAATTGACTGTGCCCTTCAAATTAGCTCTGGGCAGCTGCAATGTGAATAATTTAAATGGTGGTGCCAGCAATTTTCATCTGATCTAAAGCTCAGTGCCGTTCCTGGTCACATTCATATTCCCACACAAAACTGTACCGAGTTGTCATGTTGGAAGACAAGAGTCTCTTGACCCAGAATTTAATATGTGACCTATCACTCTCTTCAAGAAATATTCGATTTGAGCTAGCCACCCATTTCGCATGTTGAGCAGTGTTATTCATGTAAAGAATTGTCTTTCTGCATTCAGTACAGAAGATTATTTATAGAATTTAAACCTTCTGTATATAGGCATTTGTGAAAACTGTTACATAGTATAATTCCGTAAAACTTTATATTTTTTACAACTTTGAGCATGACATTAATAATTAATTTACCATGAGTAGCTTATGTTAACTATAAACCTAAATTACTTTATATGACGTATTGTAGTAGAAAACATTTTTCTGTTGTACAAGGTGTGAAGCTAATTAATGCAACCATGTGGATGTGTGTATGATGGAAATAGGATTGAATATATAGATAAAAGCATGACTAAGAAAACAATACACTCTAAAATGGACCTGCTGAAATTGTGTCTAGTAGGTACCAAAATTGCTTGCTTTTTCTATTGTTTCCCAGAAAATGCTCTTCTATGTGCTCATCTGGTTCTGGTCTCACTTTGTTTATGAGGCCCCTTTCACATGGGCGCCTGTCTCCTCCGTACAGTAAGAGATCCATGCACAGTTCTCCTGACGATCGGAGCAATATGGATGTCATTTTTGTGACATCTGTGCCCATTAAATTTTTGCCTCAATCTTGCAATAGAGGCAAAAACTGAACCAAACGATCCAATGTTAGGTCTATGGGCAGTCGGATGTAAGCGTAGTTTTTTAGAATTAAATTGGCTTGGAGGTAATCAGATATAAACAGCAAATTTTACATCCGGCTGACAGGCAGATCTGATGGGACCACCAGCGTGAAAGGGGCCTAAGGCCACAGCTTTCCTGATTTCTGAACCAAGCTCCACCTCCCAGAAGCCAAGCTGTGCTCACCTGCCAATTCCCGGGCATGACATTACATAACCCCAAATTGAGGATGTCAAAGCCTTCGTTACAAAGCAAATGCAATATTAGAGGGAAATATATTTAATGGCTAACAACAGCATTAGAACACCCCATGCAATGCTTGCTTTTAGACAGGTCTTCTTACAAGGTTAAATTGTTGGCTACTGAAGTAAATGAGCATCTTCACTCAATAAATTGTGTGAATAGTCCCTTCAATTAAACAATCATGTGAAAAGCAGATTCCTGTTTACTTATCTATTCTGTGCATGTTTGGAATAATTGAAGTGAATATTCACACAACTGTGTGAAGATTTGAAACTCCTTTAGTAAATCAGCTCTGTCTTTAGTTTATTACTGTTACTTTATTTTTGCAAACTGGCCACACATCTTGCAATCAGTGCAATTGGATTTACTAACAACTACTGTATGTAGTACAAATGTCTACCTGTCTGTATACAGTCATAATGAATTGTTAAGCTAGATAGGTGCTGGTAAGCCCAAAGTACTCTTGATTTCTTGATCACATTATTAAGTGTGTATACAGCATGGCCTAGATTTTGTCTTGGATGTTAAACAAATAAAGGAGTTTATTTTCCTCCAAATGTGTTCTAAATGTTGGTAACTGTATTTTAATAGGGGGCTCTTCACACATTCTATATTGTGTCTGGTAATGAGAGGGACACCTACTTAGCAGCATACACAGACAGCAAAATAGCCCTACCTAAAAATGTCAAACTCCACAAACTACTAGTAAAGAATGACTGTTCTGTATAAATTGTCACATCTTTTATTTGTAAGATAAGGGTCGCCAAAACCTAGATTTTTCATTTGTGGAAGCATAATGTGGAGTAATTGTTTGTAAGTTCCTACTTAACGTGGCAATCAACAGAAAGTTGATGTTCCTCCAGTGACAGCATCTCACTACTCCATGGTGTAAGGGTTTTCTCCAATGTCTCTAATAGATACTGTTTCTAAATATATATTTACATTTATGGCTGTTTGTGGTATATTTCTGATTTGCTTTCCTTTTTGCCAGGATTGTGGCATTACCTCTGAGCAAAAAAATGGGCATACGGGAGAAGTTCAAGCGGAAACCTTCTATTAAACCAATTTTGGAAGACTTTTACACAAAGAATGGAAAGCATCCAACTGAGGTAGGTTAGAATGTGATATAGACAGCTATTTGTTTTAATGTTTTAACACACCCTCAAAATCAACTGGTTTAAATTGTTTACAATGATCAATATTGCACTTAAATACAATACAATGACATTATATTCTGGAGTTTGCAAATAAGTAGATGATACAATAAATAGTTTAATTAATCAAAATATCTGGAACAACATGTGCGATGTCCCATAACTACCAGTGAAATACAAATGCTGTATTAGAAAATGGCAGAGAACTTAAATAGGAATAGGAGAATACAGACAGCTCTTATACAAAACATCAAAAATGTGACAGATGAAATTAGCCAAAATGTTACCTATACAGTAAATAAAGATACATAACATTAGCAATGTTTGAAGTGTAACACCATCCAAATTTTTTTTTTTTAAGTTTTGAATAATACGGGGAAAGGCTGGAACCTCTGTCATATTTTTATTGCTAGCGTTGTTCCTATTGGAAATATACTATATTTAATTTTTCAGAAAGAGTGATTCCTCTCAGCAGGACAGGACACAATATTCCAAATAAAAATAGGGTAAAATCAGACAGAATCTTATTTTTCTATTATTTTTTTTCTGTTTTCGAGTGCTTTCCTTGTAAAGGGCCCACTGTTTTCTCTATTATATTTTGTCTTTGTAAGCCTAGGTTGGCAAGTGAGGAAACTGAGGTTCTGTTATATACTCTACCTGTTTGTCACCCCCTCCTCTTCTTGTGTTAGTACCTCAATCCTACTTCAATGTTTCTGGTAAAAAGGATTTGTTACCCCTACTGATTAGTGGGCTCTGTGAGCCTGAATGGCTTTGATTCTCCACCTCTTTAGTCTGACATTGCAATGACCCTTTCTCCAGAGAGAATTAAGTCATCCCCAGGTGCTCAGTGACTTCAGTGTTGATAATCGTAAAGGGGGATCAGCCAAGTCTAGCCCATCTGCCTCTTCACAGTAACTCCTAGAAGATGGTATGAGCTTTGATATGGTGTAGTCAGGAAGGCTTTATTTCTGGCACAATCACAACCATCTGGCTTACCAGAATGCATCTTAAAGGGCAAAACAATAGCAGTCAAAGAGTCTATCATGAACAGCACCAGAATCCTTTTGGTGGGTATAGGTTTACTCTAAATTCTGTCCTATTTCTATGTAATTGCTTTGCACTTTGGTTCTGTGCATTTTGAACCCTGTTTGCTCTTTTCTCTGAGCTCATTTATCTTGGGTTTCTTTTTAACTTTTTTTTCAGACCTAGCTTTTAAAATGCCCAGTTAATCTTTTTCAGATTTAAATGCAAGCACTTTGCCTTTTGTCTAGCTAAAATGACGAGCAAATAGTCAAATCCCTAACTTTTGTACTGGTAAGCTTCTCAGTGAAGACACCTCTAATATATGTAAGGGTGTTTTGGTGAGGTTGTGGTTAAAGATTGTGTGTCGACTTTTTAGTCCTTTAGTACTCCAGTATACCGACAGAATTTCAGATGCCCTACCTAACAGTCCAGGGTAGATGAGGATGTTAAAGAAAAGAAAGCAGGAGCTCTTAAATCCATCAAGGGCTCTGGTGAAAAAGAGGAGCAGAAGAAAGATTAAAAAGACAAATAGCCCAGGTGTAAACCCACAATAGAAGATAGAGAAATTGCCTAAAACATATATAAAACACAAAACCTGTTCAAAACATGTGTAAGCCTTAACATTCTTTGTCACGCACATGAGCAGGGATCAGGGACCAAGTCAGCTAAAATAGTTTCTCTTGAGAAGGGGTTTGTAATAAAAAACCTTTTTGAAAAAAATTGGCTCATCCTAAACTTTAGGCCTCTTAACTGATCGGTTAACTACAAAAGTCTGCATGGTACACATCAATCTCAGGGATGCTTATCCCCATATCCAAATTGGAAAAGCTTCCCTCAGTTGGTAATGATGTTTGGTATAAATGTAATTATTCCCTCAGTCTTTGGACTCTTGTCCAAGGTCATTGGATATCTTGATGATCTGCTCTATTTGTGAAAAAAGCCAGGCAGTTTTTGAAGAACTTTCTCTAGTCTTGCAGTTTCTTTAGGACATCGGTTGGATCTTGGATGTAGAAAAGTTGACTCTGGTACAGTTCAAGTAAGATTAGGGGTACAGGACAAAGTCTCGTACTTTTGATAACATAGATTGTCTTTTTGATTATATGATTTCTGTGATATGATTTCTGTGATTATATGATTTCTATGATTTATTGAAGTCTTGGGGGTATTAAAGCCCTCTTTACTCTATTCAAGGGCATATCTAAAAGGTCCACTGATAGAGAAAGTTAACTATTACAGAATTACATACTTTGATGGGTGAGAAACCTTCTGTCACTATATATATATATATATATACTTATATATATACACATATATATATAAGTATATACAACATTGCAATTACTGGTCATGAATGTTAGGTTTTTTGTTCAAATGAATTGTATATTATTTGATTGATTTTAATACATGCTTAGTAGGGCATATTTAATATATGTATTTGTTTTTTTGATTGTTATTCACTATAGTGCTTGCAACTTTCACTAGGTTGTATTGGTGCAAGATATTGCTGAGATCTGATTTATAAGTGTCTAGTGACTATAACGTGTATAATTCCAGAGTGCACAGTAATCCTGTTTATTAATTTAGCAGACCTGGCTAAGCATACTTCACACATCATCCTTGTGCTTGTGTATATTTTCTCCACACTCCAAACATATGTTGGTAGGTTAATTGGCTCCTGTCTAAATTGGCCCTAGTATGTGTGTGCATATGAGATGGGGAGAATGTAAGCTCCTTGAGGGTGGTTACTACTGTGAATGAATAGTATGTAAAGCACTGCTTAAATTGATGAAGCTTATAAATACCTGAAATAAATAAATCATCTTAAAATATATACAATGTGTAAAACAAGTATTTTGGAATACATGAATGGAGAGAGATGGAAAAGATGGAGAGGTTACATCCTTCTGTGCCTGTTGCTGCCTAGTTGTGACTAAAATTACCAATCATGTTCACATACTCATGTTATTGTATATACAATTCACAGACAGGGGAATTTGCCACTTGGTATAACATGTGAGAATTCACAGCCTCCAAATGTATAAACTGGAGGATTGAATACTAATTAGTAATACAAACACCCAAAAATCAACTTAAAATCTAGGTTGTAATTCAATAAAACAAGAATACCAAGGGGGTCAATACATTCACATGGCACTGTACCAAACCAGGCCATCTTATGTATTATTTATATATTGTATATTCCCAAAACTGACCTATAGCTCTGCATAATTGTGTTCTGCTCTAGAATATATTTGCCCTGTAACTGTCCCTTATTTGGAGGGACGGAACCTCATTTGTAACCAAATCCCTCTGTCCTTCTCTCTTCCTCAGTAGTCCCTCTGTTTGGTCTGATGTATACATCTGTACATGGCATGTGTGTGTCCTTTGCCCACATACTTTGTGCTACAATGTGTTCCTCTTGCCCATCTCAGAAAGTTAAGAGCTATGCAGCCCAGTTTGGATAATTGTTGTTTTCTCTTTTTCTAATAGTTGGGATTTCATGAAAATGTTTGCCTTTTTAGAAAACATGTCTCACTAACATGTCAGTGTTATCTGTGTTCTAGCTTGAAGTCCTCAGTTTGTCAGCAGAATGTAATATGCAGATTCGCCAAGTTGAACGTTGGTTCAGAGATAGGAGAAACCAAGACAGATCAAGCACAACCAAGAAATTTTGTGAAGCCAGGTGAGTAGACAACATCAAAAAATGCCAAATCAGTGCACATGGTCTACAGAAAGCAAGGACACACATACAATAATTGATACAAATATTCTCTTTTAGTTTGATGTGAGATATTAGATAAGGCATTTTTTAGTTTTTAGGGGCTTTCTGTGTCAGCGCTGTGCCATGCTAACTGAATACCATGATGAATGGTCCAGAAGCCTTTATATTTATTTATATAATAATATATATTTATATTATCAGATGACCGACAGACATCAAAGTAGAACTCCTTCCATTTGGCACCAAGGCACCACGGAGGGTTTTTTTTGCATATTCTTGTTAAAAGTAAAAAATACATTTCATTACATTTAGCAGGAAGCTTAAAGTGTATATTTTCCCTTTTGAAAATAATAATTTATTTTTAAATAAAAATATAGAATTAAAGCTGAACTAACAAGATAGGCAAATATTGCCTATATAAACAAGCATTTGTATTCTTACTTGAATCTTGGTGCATCTTGTGTATTTCTCTCACATCAGTGCATAATCCAGTGTGAAAATTTGGCTCTGCAGGAGCTTCCTGTAATATAAACCAGTCACTGCTACTCTCTCTCCTTGTGCAGGGGGACTGGTCTTGTCTCCGCCCCATCTAATAGTTTTCTGCAGGCAGCCTCTATTGGGTGGGTTGGTGGGGCATCTCTGCTCTCTGCACAGGATATGTACAGAACAGTGATGATGTCACTGCAATTTTTTCAAAGGTGACATCTGGGTTTGCACAGGCATTTGGTGCACATAAAGTGGATTTATAGTCTTTGTGGCTATTGAGGAATATTATTTAAATGTTAAATGTTTTTGTGCAGAGTGTTCAGATTTAAGCAGAGTGACTGATACTGTATTCAATCATGGACAATTACTAGTATAGCTTTTTAGAAGGAGTATTTCAACTATCAGTGTTATCTAGTAAAGGTATACCAGTTATCGCTTTTCTTTGTTTTCTAGCTGGAGATTTATAATCTACTTGATTTCATTCCTTATTGGTGTTGCTGTACTTATTGATGTAAGTATACTCTGTGTGCTAACCTGCTTGTTGATTGACAAGGTTAAATAACATTGAAAAATAATATGCGGCCGTGGCTGGGAGGCGGGAGCTGGCAGGAGCGTGCAGGACCAGCCGGCGCCGCCGACGTCTCCATCTGCTGCTAAAGATAAGCTCCGCCCTCCCAGCCAGAGATCCTCGTGCGGTGGATGGGAGGAGTGAGGTCTCTTCTCATTGGCTGGGGGGCGGAGCTCCAGAAGACAGTGGATGGACCGCACCGATGATCGAGGAAACGGATGAGCTCTCAGCCCTGTCGCTATCGCTCCTGTCAGTTTGACAGCGACAGGGCTGAGAGCTCACAACGTTACCTGGCTGCGAGCGAGGTGATGTGCCGTTCTGACAGGGCAAACTAGGCGGCCGCGAGGCCCTCGGGAGCGCGAGGCCTAAGGCGACCGCCTAATTTGCCTAATTAAAGAGCCGCCTCTGACAATAACGGTGCACTTGTAACGTTAGAAGAACACAATATCGCTCATGTCCAGCTTGTTGAAAAATCTCAGTGTAAATCAGCTAATCCTTCCGCTTCTCAGTGAGAAGAGGGAAGGGAGATGTTAACTGTCAATGTGCTGCTTCAGTGTGGCAAGTCTTATGATTAAGCAGCAGGCAGTTGTCTGCCCAGGGATGCATCTACTTGTTAATGCCTAGTCTTTTTTTGTGGAATGCTAATGCTGTACTTGTGTATGTGACTTGCACAAATGGATTTTGCTATTGGAATTATTACTTTCTAATTATTATTAAGTCCCAGTATGAAACTGCAGACTGGAAACAAAACATAGTAATCACCCACTTCCATAGACTGTTGTGGACATTAGATAATTAGAGCATAAAAATGTATACTGGTTGTGGAAAACAGAGATTAAAGAAGAACTCCAGATAAAAATATATTTTCATTCAGTGACACTGACCTCTGCCCTTGTGATAAAATGCATTATTTTTCTATGCAGCTGTCTATCGGTTCTGTCATTTCTTTTGTGCAATATGGCTTCTTTACCTTGAAATGTAACTTAAACTTTTCTGAGGAGGCAGTCATTTCTCTAGCCACTTGCTAGTAAAACCGTACAGCAGGGGTTGCCAAACTTCAACCCTCCAGCTGTGGTGATACCACAAACCCCATGAGTGTAAGTATACTCTGTGTGCTAACCTGCTTGTTGATTGACAAGGTTAAATAACATTGAAAAATAATACTTATATTATATTATTATACATTTTATAGCACTGTGTTATAAGACCCCTAGAATGACCATGAACAGTCTGATGCCACACCAATCCAAGTGCCCAATACTATGCTGGCTAGGGGTACCTGTAGGAGACATAGTAAAACCGTACAGCAGGGGTTGCCAAACTTCAACCCTCCAGCTGTGGTGATACCACAAACCCCATGAGCAGTGGCGACTCTAGGAACAATATATAGGGGGCACATAAGATAACACAGTGAGATCTGGGCGGGCACTAATAATTTTCATTACACGTCGCAACCGCGGATGGCATCTGCGCCCTGCGGTGGCGACAGAAGCTGCATATAGCGTGTGCTGGTTACTACTTAAACCGGCGCGCTGTGTACAGCTTCTGAGAAGATACGCTATTAGCGTAGCAGGGAAGTCGGCTGCACATTTTGCATGGGGGGGGCAAGTGATAACCTAGGGGGGCAATTGCCCCCCCTTTCCCCCTGTAGTGACGCCACTGCCCATGAGGCATTGCAAGACTCTGGCAACCACAGGCATAACTACCAGAGGTAGATGCATGATGGGATGTGTAGTTTCACTAGATGGGGCCGGCCAATGTTTGGGTACCCCTGCCCTACAGGATCTACAGGATGCTGTATGATCCACCTGTTCAAGACATGAGACTGTAATCCATTGAAGACAGTGAGCTGAAAGAGTTAGATCCTGAGCGTTGGAGCATTTTATATAGCTCTCCATATAAACCCAGTGCAACCTCAAATACAGGATATTTATACTTAGCTAGATGGCTAGAAGATCAAGTTCTCCTTGCATCCGTTGCAGCAGTAGTGCGCGGACCTTCGTGTGCAGTGTTTCATTTTCCTTCCGGCATGTAAGCTTACCAGAACTCGCATAGCTGAGCCTGCCGAGATGAAATATGTCATCTTCAGCCATTGGCAGTCTTTCATCTGGCTGCACTCAGCTCTCACACTGCATGCGAACGTCTGTGCCTAACAGCTTTGCTTTGCTCCGCACGGCTTTGCCACAGGCTTAAAAGAGAACTATGGGGTAAGTGTTTTTCCCCATAGTTATCTTAAGGGCCACGGGAGGACATATACTAGCATCCTCCCGTGACCCAAAGCTCAGCATATCGTGAGCTACAGCTCGCGGTATACTGAGACCGCCGCAGCCGGGCCGGATCCTGACAGTGCTGTCGAGATCCACCCAGCTGCGTGAATGACAGCTGGCTCTGCCTATCTAAAGGCAGAGCCAGCTGTACCCGCCCCAAATCAGGATTTGGATCAGAAGCTCTAAAGTGCTGTTTTTATCTCTGTAGAGGAAATATTCCTTCACTTCCGGTTCTTTCTGACATCTATCACGTGGACAGGAAGTGAGAGGAAATCACCTCAATAAAGACAGAGATAAAACCCTGATAGGCATAACTACCAGAGGTAGATGCATGATGGGATGTGTAGTTTCACTAGATGGGGCCGGCCAATGTTTGGGTACCCCTGCCCTACAGGATCTACAGGATGCTGTATGATCCACCTGTTCAAGACATGAGACTGTAATCCATTGAAGACAGTGAGCTGAAAGAGTTAGATCCTGAGCGTTGGAGCATTTTATATAGCTCTCCATATAAACCCAGTGCAACCTCAAATACAGGATATTTATACTTAGCTAGATGGCTAGAAGATCAAGTTCTCCTTGCATCCGTTGCAGCAGTAGTGCGCGGACCTTCGTGTGCAGTGTTTCATTTTCCTTCCGGCATGTAAGCTTACCAGAACTCGCATAGCTGAGCCTGCCGAGATGAAATATGTCATCTTCAGCCATTGGCAGTCTTTCATCTGGCTGCACTCAGCTCTCACACTGCATGCGAACGTCTGTGCCTAACAGCTTTGCTTTGCTCCGCACGGCTTTGCCACAGGCTTAAAAGAGAACTATGGGGTAAGTGTTTTTCCCCATAGTTATCTTAAGGGCCACGGGAGGACATATACTAGCATCCTCCCGTGACCCAAAGCTCAGCATATCGTGAGCTACAGCTCGCGGTATACTGAGACCGCCGCAGCCGGGCCGGATCCTGACAGTGCTGTCGAGATCCACCCAGCTGCGTGAATGACAGCTGGCTCTGCCTATCTAAAGGCAGAGCCAGCTGTACCCGCCCCAAATCAGGATTTGGATCAGAAGCTCTAAAGTGCTGTTTTTATCTCTGTAGAGGAAATATTCCTTCACTTCCGGTTCTTTCTGACATCTATCACGTGGACAGGAAGTGAGAGGAAATCACCTCAATAAAGACAGAGATAAAACCCTGACATAGGTTCTAAACCATCCTCACTCTACGAAAAAAGTTTTGCTCTCTGGGCCCTGGGAGATTTCTCCTCACCTCCTGTTCTGTCTAATGCCCATCAAGTAGACAGCATGTGAGAAGAAATTTCACATTCAGGGCCACAGGCATCAATACAGTGTTTTCAGATGTCCTAACCCTTCTTTGTTTCAAAGTAAAAATCACTGGAGTAGAGTTTAAAGGAGAAGTATTGGAAAAGTAAAATGTACTCTTCCCAATACTTAGAGCCGGCATTTGACACTGCAGGTGTCACACACAGGCTGTATAGATTGAGATCTGAGTGATCACAAACCGCTGATCACTCAGTTAATGATATTCTCCCAGCAGAGAGTAGTGACTGTCAGTCACAGCTCCCTGCAGGGATTCCCCTCCCCCTTCTCTGTTCCTCCTGTGCTCATTGGACGGACAGACAGGGAAGGGGGTGGGCACAGCTGGCATTGGCTCTAGGGAGGCAGAGCCAGCTGTCAATCAGGCAGCCGGGTGGATCCTGACAATGTTGTCGGGATCTTTCCTGGCTACAGCATTGCTCTGCTCTGTCAGCATATATTCGGGCAGTAGACTTCTATATGCTGACTTTGGGTGACAGGAGTACTTTAGTAAATGTAATCCTATGACCCAAAAGAGAACTAAAGCCCAAAAAAATGGTTTGGCTATAGTTCTCTTTTAAAGTTAAGGTTGATAGCATGGTTGTCCTCAGAACATGAAAAAAACCTGAAACTAGTGACATAGGGAAGTAAATTTGCTTTGTATTAAAAAAAGAAATAACTTCTTTCTTCTGAAGTACTCGGAGGAGGGGAAGTGGTTATGTCTAGAATAGCTGATGTGTTTCTTAAATACAAGGTTACAGGTTAATATGTAAAAAATATTCTATTAGGTTTAGGACAAAACAATTCTTCAGCAAGCAAAACATTTACATTTTGCCTGAATACTAGATTAGTGCTACTGTTAAATATCTATAAAAAAAAATAAGTCAAGGCAACTGGACTTGCTGTATTTTTCTTGAAGACGTTTCACTGGTCATCCAACCAGCTTTCGCAATTCAGAATGACTTGTACAAAAAATGATCTGGGAATAAATATTGTGAATGTTGCTCCAATCCACATAGTATGTTAGTCACAACCAAATGTTGATTGTATTTGCATAATTGGAGTCTAAGAGGTGTTACTAACTTGCCCAGAGACATGTGTTAAAACAGCTTTGTATTCGCAGACAATCGATATCTTCCGCCCCCCCCCCCAGATAATTTTTTTTACAAGTCATTCTGAATTGAGAAAGCTGGTTGGATGACCAGTGAAACGTCTTCAAGAAAAATACAGCAAGTCCAGTTGCCTTGACTTATTTTTTACAGATATACCATGACCTGGATGAATGAGAATCTTCACAAGCATACTGTTAAATAATAAAAGACTTGCAATGCTATCTTTCTTACTTACAAGCTAGTTTTTCTTTTAAAACACATTCATTTATTATCTTTCTGGAACTCCAAAGACTCCATACACTAGGGGTAAAGCAAGTATCAATGTTACCTGATTTAACGCATATTAAAACTTTCTGACAGTAATATTGCAAATTACATTGCAATCATTGCAAATATAAACCCCACATCAGAATACAAGATTTTTCAATATTGGTCATCCTAAACATATAAATGTAACAGTAAATGCCATACAGAGCATACGTATTTCATTATAAATACAGGTGAAACTCGAATAATTAGAATATCGTGCAAAAGTCATTGCAGTAAGTGCTGCAAAAGGGGCCCAAACCAAGTACTGAGTACATATGCATGCTTGTACTTTTCAGAGGTCCGATATTGTTCTATGTACAATCCTTGTTTTATTGATTGCATGTAATAATCTACTTTTTTGAGGTTGTGGATTTGGGGTTCTTGGGGTTTTCATGAGCTGTAAGCCATAATCATCACAATTATGACAAATCACGGCTTGAATTATCTTGCTTTGCATGTAATGAGTCTATCTCATATATTAGTTTCACCTTTTAAGTTGCATTAGTGAAATAAATGAACTTTGCACGATATTCTAATTATTCGAGTTTCACCTGTGTATATATATATAAAAGAACTGCTAAAAAAAAAAAGTAATGGCCATGTGAAAAAAGCTATTATGTTATATACTTTTGTTTATATTAGTCAAATATAATTGTTATGTAGAAGCACTGATGAAATGAATAGGCTATATACACAGTGCAAGTGTGTTCCTTGTCAGATAGTGGTGACAGAAGCAGTGTTTGATTATTAATTAGCAATTACTTGAAAAAGTATCTGAAGCATATATTTATAGCTTAAAGGATGGACGGGCAAAGGAAGGACCTTACCAATAGATGACACTCATTTGCAGTCCAATGACCAGGATAGAGGCAGGGCTCAGACACAAAAAGCCAAAAATATTTATAACAGGTAAAATACTATATTTTATGTATTTCAATAGTGTATTTATCTAAAGTTTCATTTTAGCCAGGCAAATCATATGCATAACCTATGTTAATCAGTCATCGGTTCCTGTTCATTGTACATCATCATCACTATTTTTTACCTTTTTAAATATGTCTAAGGGCTTGTTCACACGACGTTCCGTGCGCTCCTGCACTAAAAATGCATCCCAACGTATCCCCATGTGTTTTATGGGCTACAGTTCTCACGTGCGCAGTCCGTTCAGGTCCGGACAGAGAAAATACTGCATGTCACATTTTGACCGGTCCGCATACGGTCAGGAAAAGCATGAACATGTCAAAAACACACCAAAAACACACCGCACTGCAGCTAACATTCTGACAGCCCCACTCCAGTTTTTTTATTTTACTGGATTGCGTCAAAACGCGTCAAAAATGCATAGCACCGCATCTGCAGATCTGCTCCAGATCCGGACTAGATCTGGTCCGGAGACCTTTGAACAAGCACTAAAGGTGTCTAGTTTCAATGCTTTATATATTTCTGCTTTACTTGTCAATCACTTAATGAAACTTTATTTTTGTATTGCTAGAAGCCATGGTTTTGGGACCAAAGGGAATTCTGGACAGATTATCCCTATCAGGTGAGAACCAGAAGCAAGGTTTTTTTTTAGGGGCCAGGTCACACAGGTGATTTTTTTTAAGTAGAAGAATTATTCATATTTGTTTTTTTTTAATCTTTTGTGTTCCTAATCAAACTGGAGTTCTTGCTACCCACCATGGGTCTTTTGGTAGTGTTTGAATTTCAGCAGTGTTCTGGGTAGCAATGGAGAAACTTCCATTAGTGATAACTAACCTGCAATTTAGTGATTCTGTCACTGGTCCATTTGTCATGTGCTTAAAGTATTCATCTACAGTATAGTTGTTTATGACTGCAGTAAAAACCATGTGTAATAAAGAAGCAGGTCTCCTGTAATTAATGTAGCCTATAGCAATGTCCCAGAGAAAACATAATGAAGGGAATTTATCAAAACTGGAGCAGACAAAATCTGCCCATGACAACCAATCAGCTTCTATCTTTCATTTTCAAAGCTTAATTGAACAAACTAAAGAGAAGCTGATTGGTTACTATGGGCAACTGCTACAGATTCTCTCTGTTTTGTCCCCCCAATGTATATTATTTAACCACTTCAGGACCGACCACCGTCAAAATACCTCATGTCCTCAAGCGGTTATACCAAGAACATGGCTGCTACTGCGGCCGTGTTCTTGGTATAATTTTTAAACAGCCGGCAATTGCTGTTAAGATACACGCGATTCTGCGTCTATAGACGCCGGATTGCTTGTACGGTGCGATGGAATGTGTGCCCCCCTCCACTGCTACCGCTGGCTTCCCCAAGCTCAGCTGTCCCCCATGCAGGCCTGGGACCGGCACAGTGGGTCTCCCCTGACAGCTTCCAACTGCTGATCTCTCCTCCGATCACCAGACCCGGAAGTGATGTGTCTTACATCACTTCCGATGTCACTGTGCACATTCTCTGGCTCTTAGAGCCAGGCGAAGAAACCGGTGAAGCAGATCTCTTCTTCATCAGCTTCTTTGGGGTCCCTAGGTGACATTAGGGGTTTGAAAGACCCCTGATGTCTCCATAAATTTGCTATTACATAGGGGGCTTGTTAGCTCCCCATATGATAGCAATAAAGTTAAGTGTAAAAAAATCCACAAAATTTAAAAATGAAAGTAACATATAAAAAAAAAAATTAAAAATGCAAAAAAAGTCTCCCACCCCCCACGTGCATGCACATACAACGCAAACACGTGTTGGGTGCACTAACGTGCAGAAATGAAAATTGCGCCACAGATATTACATATCGTCCCGAACGTCGGAGTGAGAGCAATAATTCTAGGGCCATTAAACACTGCTTACACTAAACTAATGAGCAGAAAAATCTTTTAAATCGTCGCCTATGGGAAATTTGGGGTATTTTCGTTTTTTGCGGTTTCACCTCTTTCAGATATTGTATGATAGGCTTTTCTCAATTTGAAAAGTTAGATAATTGGAGAAAACCTATTGATCTGAAAGAATCTATCTTGGGCAACCAAAAATTTGGAAGAACAGCCACTACCCACTTGATGAGATGATCAAAAAGCACTTTAACATATCTATGGCCAAAGGCAATCTTTTGTACTTACAGGTAGTTCATCATCAACAGAAACCATGAAATCTTACAATGTAGGGTAAGTACAGAGCTTTCTCCTTCCTGCAATGAGCCACATAAAAAATCCAACACAGACTATAAACTTCAAAATCAACTTCACCCAAAATGGTACTGCAATATGTTGGTTTGCATAGCCCCGCAATCTTCCTTTCTCTCGTACACCTCCTTATTGTTTGCATGGAATGCAGATTCTGGCAGCATCTTCTGCCACATAATCTATATCTCATGAGGCAAGGAAACCCTTTTACACAATACTGCATGCAGAACCTGTTAATCAATATCATTGATAGATTGAGTTTTCACATAAGCAAACTCTCTCAAAGGCTTTGCTTTCCACAAACATTTTAATGGCTGTTGTCTTATCCTGCATTTCAAGCAATTTCTACTTCCAGCCCTTTCCTCTTCACTACTACTTTCTTGCTTTGGAGCATCAGAAATTTGTCTGTCAGCCTGAACACAGTGAGGAGCTATTGTGGCAAAATTGGTTCCTTCAGCAGCTTCTTCATCATCATCATCATCTTCCCCTGTTTGTAATTCCAAGGGACATCTAGACAGTACATCCACATTGTGAGTTGGCCCACATGGTTTAATACCTCACCTAAAAAGTATACTTTGCCAATCTCACCAACCAATATTGTTTTAGTGCTTCAAGCCTGTCATTATCAAGATAGACTAATGTGTTATCTTTAATGACTTAAAACTAGATCCCCCAAAGATACTCCGTGATTCTGTTAATGTAGTGATGGCTTTCATCAAAAATTCCAACTTGAATTTTGCAAACTTTGACTTTGTGTACACTACCACATACTCCTTCTTGACATGTATTTGTGCTAAAAAAATACAGCAAAGTCAGCAGTTTCATTTCCCAGACTTTGAATATTAATTAGAGGATATTCTTGATCCCACTGAACACCCTTTCTAATATCATTTGCTTGTGCGAGTGTCATTCCAGGTGTTATCCATTTTACGGATGAACCCTCCATCATGGAAGTCAGTGAAAACAAGAATCCATATTTTTTCTAATTTCATAAACTGCAAATATATTTCTGTTGGGACTAACTTAGCTACAACAACACATGACAGTCATTGATGCCAGTGAAATTGTGATATGGGGGTGGTGATCTGTCATCAAAAATGCTTGCTCAAGCCCCGCACACCTTTCCACCCTCCTCAGTGTACCTGTGAGCAAAACTCTATTGCTGAGCTGGTCGACCACTTACACAGGCTTTTCTGATGTTTGTACTAAATACCTGTCTGAAACCATGCTGCCTCAACAACCATTTGACTTTGCGTCTGAACTGTTTCCTTATATTTCACTTCCACATGGTCAAGTGTAAACTCAGTCTCGTCTTGATGCCCAAGTCATGGCCGAGTATTTCAAGGTGAAATCTCCATCCAAAAACTTACCTTACTGCCAGGTTCTGGCTTCTTCTTTGTAGAGAAGCACGATTGCAATCATTGACCTTGCATTGATTCTTATATTACATATGAACCTTCTTCACATAGGAGGCACCACCAGGTTCCTGCATGTAGAGCACTGTGGGCACCCCAAAAACTAACACTAGCTTTTGCAGTTCCTGGCTCTGGCCTACCTTCTGCCAGATGCTGGGAAGTAAATAATCAAAAGCGTCTTTATCTACCTTTTCTATTTCTTTATAGGCCATTTGTAAAGTTTTGCAAACTGTAAAATGAATTTGTCATTCTATTAGAAGTTGATAAATAGGTTTGTGCATATGATTCTAATGGATCTGTAATATCAAAGTATAGAGGGGAGTCAGTATCAGAAGATATTTTATAATTTCACTGGTTAGTAGAACAGAGGAGACTGTTGTGCACTATTAGAATTTGAATTGACAGCTTGGGCCTAACTAACATTCAACCACTAATGACCCCCTGATAAATCCTCCTGGCTCGTGATCAGATAAGAGTGGACATCTGCAGAGTTTTCGGTTACAAATCACGGCAGGGAACAAGAGATCCTCATACACTGCACTCCCCACCGTCTGGAAAACATTTGTCTTTTTCAAAGATCAGAGGATTCATCTCCAATAAAACATTCAGTTACAGAGAGATTAAACTTTCGTCTGATTCCCTCTGACTCTGAGGACATATTAGCTATATGCCCATATAAAATTGTAGGTTTGAGTTCTACCCAATCATCTAGAGACCAACAAAACAGTTATGTGGGGCCTGCTTGCATTTACTGTTGTGCGTGGACGTGCAATTGATGTTGACATGCTGGTGTCGGAAATCCTACCCTTGATCCAGGCTTCAGAACCGGTGGGCCAAAATAACTGGTGACCACTTCAGAAGGCAGAACCTCTCTTCTTAGCAGGTTGGGTGACACCTTTAGAGGTCATTGGTCAAAGGGCCCATGCCACATTAGTATCCCGATAAATTGGGTAGCTGGAATTATGAACGTTGTATTCATCTGAGAGAGTGTATCGAAAGACACAGGGTTTACAGATTTCCGGCATTCTCCTGCCAGCAGGATAAACAATACTGTCCAATGGAAATGTTTTTTTCAGTTTTTTCTCCTATTTTACTTTATAACCAATAGCCCAAAGTTTTTGTATGCCATTGTCTTTCTTTTTACGTTTGTACATATTTCTTATGCACTGCCCACCTTGGGATATCAAAATATAAAATTAATAAGTGGCCGTCCGTATACTAAACTAAGAATTCATACTCCGTGAGATATTGGTCATTGTTACCAGTGTCTGTATGCTCAGTTGTAAGCTCGCTGTTTATCTGTAAATAGTTGCTTTGTGCGACTGCGGATTGCATGCAGATTAGTGTCAGTGTGTATGCTACACCAGTCAGCTGACAAACTGCAGGTGGTGGCAGACTCCCGTAAGTTGTGTGTCTGGTGTGTGTGGGTGTGTGAGCAGTGGGAAAGTGGTACCGGTAGCACAAGGATTCTAGCTTGCAGCATAGCTTGAGGTGCAAGTGACCCTCCAGAGGTATTACACACTGTGGCGATTGTTTCACAGGAGCGTTTTATTAGCCCAAAGTAAGTGCCCTCCTCTTCCACCAAACGAGGACCCCTCTATGTTTAGTGAGTCGCCGCAGATAGGCGGTCCTTGACAGGGTCTTTTTATTACATAACATTTTAATGCATGCTAATTTGGCCTGCTCACTCATTAAAAGCTAGAGCTGCAGCTAACGATTATTTTCAAAATCGATTAGTTAGCCGATTATTAAGTTCGATTAATCGGTTTTTTTCGATTATAATTGATTATGTCGATTAGTTGTTGCAGCCCTATTAAAAGCCATTTAAAATACATTAATTCTCTACGTGCAAATCCTCAGACCTCTCACCCTCCTCCTCTGTGCCCATCTCTCTCAGACAATCTCTCCCTCTGCAGATCCCCAGACCTGATACTTCTCAAAAATCTTTTCTGTTTGCAGCTCTAGGGCTGCTTAT